GCCCCAGCCTATTCAAGCTTCTTTCTTTTTTAGACAGTGACTTCATTTCATCTTGCATAGTATCCATAAGTTTTATCATCACCTACCAATGACTTTATTGTGACAGGGAAGGGACAGAAGCTGGAGGTCACCTCCCCATAGTACCCCTTACCAGCTACAGCCCTGAGAGAAGCAGCAGCATTGGGCTGGTCCCACCATCCCCTGGCAGTGAAGTCACGTCCTGAGCACTACCCAGGAGCTTTGCTATGGGTGAAAGCTTGTACTGAGTTACACTGCACTATCTATACTACCCAGGGGTCCATTCCCCAGGTGCTTCTGAATAAAACATCAGTTGTACAGCTCCTCTCTTTAAAAACATTCTGGTCAGATAATCGTGCAGAAGAACAATCCTGCCGCAGCACACAGCAATGGGCTCCAGGTGCAGCTATGAGGTTTGCTCCAGGAATTTCACTTACTGCTCCCAGGCTGGGAAGTGCTCTGCTGGCCGGTTGTACGCGGTCCACACTGGCTCACCCACAAACAGCCTCATGGCTTTCACATAGCTCTTCTCATCCAGTGTGAAGTGGTCATAGATGTCGCCCTTCTCCATGGAGATCCGGATCCACTTGTCCTCCTTGTCCCTGACATCAAAGTACTCACTGCCATCCAGTATGTATTGGATTTCCTCATCCAGGTACAAGTGCTCTATGTAGAACACCTGGATCTTCTCCTTGAAGTTGGGCAGTCTGTCCTTGAAGATGGTGATGATTGTCCATCCAGGAGTAGCTCCTGTCCCTGCAGATCTGCACCAGCTCTGGGTCCGTCTTGTGCTTGTCAAAATCCAGCAGGCAGTCAAGGTCGAGGAGGTGTGGCAGCTGTGGATTGTCTGTGGACTCATCCACATACCAGGCCTGCACCATCGTGGTGTCTAGGCTGCAAACCCAGGCAGGCAGTACACCATAGGGCCCAGGGACAAGGCAAGTACCTTTTTGTGTGTGTGTGTGTGGAACTGGGGATTGAACACAGGACCTTGCACTTGCCAGTCAGGTGCTTATTCTGCAGAGCTATCGCTCCAGCCCTCCAGGCTTCCTTCTTGATACACTTAAAAATCACAGGTAGATTTTTCTTAAAATGAAATTATCAGTGAGTGAGTTGTTTTAATCCAGCTTCCCTTCTGACCCTTTTCACATAGTGACTCATTCATTTTGCTCAGCAAGAATCTAACATGTGCCCACCGCATGTCACACACTGGGCTGGTTTTGGCATTTTTGGGTAACAATAGGACTATGATAATTATGTTTTGTTTCCTATTGTACCTTTCAGATTTTATTCACTCTTTCAGGTAATTACCCTCTCAAGACAATATGATGTTTACACATATGGGTCTGATTTATTTTGCATATGAGTATGGTCTCAAGTGGTATCCATTTACCTGAAAAAGACTTAAGTTTAGCTTTCTGTATAGATGAGTAATACGCCATTGTATAAAAACACCACATCTTCTTTATCCATCCTCAGTTGACAGGCATCTGGGTTGTTTCCAAGATTTATCTGTGACAAACAGCACTGCTATCAACATGGGTGCACATATATCACTGTGGCATGATGTGTCCAGTTTCAGGGGAAAATCCCTAGGAGGGGAGTAGCTGGGTCGAAGGGGGCCTCTAATCCTAGCTTTTTGAGGAATCTCCACACTGATTTCCACAGTGGTTGCACCAGTTTACACTCTCACCAACGGGGAAGAAAGCTTCCTTTTCCCCCACAGCCCCTCCAGCATTTGTTACTGGTTCATTTCTTAATGAAAAGGCCACTATGTTTATAACTACTGTAATACATAGTAATCACAAAATCCCATAGTCCCAGGTAAAAGTACACTGCTGGCAAGTTCTGAGAGGAAAAGCTTATGGAACTCCGTATGTTCGGGGAACTTCCCCCATGAGAAAGATCCAGGAGGACACATTTAAGGAAGTGATTGTTGAGCTGAGACACAAAGAGCTTTTGGCCACTGGGCAGCACCTAGAGATGCTCCCGCAGCCAGTGGATTTCAAGGGCTAATCTGTTGGGAAAAATATGCACTTAGACAAAGCAGATGCAGAAACATCAAAGAGAAGACAAAAGCAGAAAATGAAAGGGGTCAGATCGGAAGACATGCCTGAATGGTTCATACAGGTCAGGTGAAGGGCATTCTTTCTGGTCACTGAGAGCATCATGTGAAGGAAGGGAAATGACTCAACTTGACTTCTGTTTGTGTCAGACCTCTCTGGTTATGTTTTACAGAAAGGATAGTGCAGGACAGAAGAGCAAACCTTATATACTTATAAAGAGCTTTGTGACCATTTAGGAAGGGAGGATGGTCACCTGGGTGATGGACCCATTGGGGACACAGGAAGAGGCAGACATGGAGTGAGTGTGGAAAGGGTGGCAGAGGTGTCCAGCTGCTACCGGCATTCTGATCACTCATTCAGTGGGCCAGGTTTCCATTTACAGTCTCCTTGAGCCATTCAAGTAGAGCTGGTTGAGCAGGCCACTGTATGTGGGCAGCAGCACTCAGCACAGAGAACAGGGCAGAGATAGAAACTGGGGAGTTGTCTGAGCTCTGGATCTGCCTGGCAGTGTCTAGAAGAGCTGTCCAGACTTCTGCTTGAACACCTTCAACATGTCAAAAAGTTCACCATCTCAACAACCACACATGCCTTAGTTAGAGAAAGGTGTTCCTTATTAAAGTTCTACTATGAGTCCTGATTCTGTCTTTTAGACAAGGGCTGAGGGTCTCTCTTCTACCTTATAGGGCTTCAGGAACTTGAAGAAAACTAGCACCCCTTCAGGCTGTCTGTGAAAACTTTCCACCCAATTCAGCCATCTATGCCCTGCCCACATCCTCAACTGCATTCTTAGTGCAAGTGCAAAAATAGGCCACCAGAAAACCGTCCATTCAGCCACATGAATTACCTCCACTGGGACCCAGATATCTGCAGTTTCCTGAGTATGGCAATTTCACAGACCTCTGTGCCTTTTCTTATGCTCCTGCTTAAGAGTGCTTTTAAATTCTGTCCCAGTGGAGTTTCACTTTAGGGCAGAGGCTAGTGAGACCAACCAGCTCGCTGGAAGAGTGGCTTCAAGTGGAAGTAGGGGGAGGTGGGCAGAAGCTTGCGTGTGTCCAGACTTGGAGGCAGCGGGGGCTTCCTCGGCGCCATTGCCCTGCATTCAGGTTGGTCCTCTTTTGCAGGTGAGGCAGGGGGCTGAGTGAAAGCCCCTCACCCTCAGCTGCTGTGTTCAGCTAATCCAGGGAGCTGTCTGTAGTCACAAAAACCCTAAGTGTCATCTATTGTGAGTTTGCTAGGGCCAGTCAGGCACCCAGGTGCTTTCGGCTAGTTGTTTCCCCCACGGGGTCTTGTACAGCTTGTCCAGGGGTAAGAAAGAGAATGCACAGGGGATGATGGATGACGATTTAGAGGCTAGGAAACAGTGTACACTTCTCATATTCCAGTAACCCAAGGCAGTCACATGGCCCATGTAACTTCAGGGCAGCGCAGACACACAATTATCTGTGAGCCCAGAAGGAAGGGTGGTGGGATGTGGTGTGCACACCTGGGACACCGGGGAAATGGGGTGTGTCTTTCATGGCTTCTTTTCTTCTTATTCTTAAAGAGAATAAAAATAATTTTCAAAAATAAAAGCTATAGAATTTTAAAAAACAAGATGATAGGAATTCAACAATGGTTGTTATATTGCATATTATGTTCAAAGTAGTTGTTCAGACCACCAGATATAAGCATGCAAAATTGGTCCCCAAAACTTAAGCATTAGCTGTGCCTTTCAATAAAACAATAGAAATGAGTAACAGTTATCTTAGCTATCTTGTGTGTGTACATGTCTTTACTTGTTTTCTTTTTCTTTCTTTTTTATTCCTCCTTTCTCTCATCCCAGTTCTTTCCTCTTGAGCAGTTTCTTTCCCTTCATAGTATCTGTTGTATCTTTCAGATTTTAGTTAGTCTTTCAGATTCTTACAGTAGGGAGACTATCCGATGTCTACACATGCAGGTCTGAATTCTTTGTCATCCTTGTTGTTGTCTTTTTGAGACAGGCTCTCACTGTGCAGTTCAGGCTGGCTCTGAGTTCACTTTGCAGCACAAGCTGGTATCGAACCCACAATGATCCTCCTGCCTCAGCCTCCCAGGAGCTGGGACTATAGGTGTGCACCACAGTGCCTGGTGTGTGGGTCTGATTTATTTTCCTTATAAGAATGGTCTTCAAGTTGCATCCATTTATCTATAAAGTTTTCTATCTTCCTTTATAGATGAGTAATACTCCTTTGTATAAAAATACCACATCTTTTTTATCAGCTGACTGGCATTTGGATTGTTTCCAAGATTTAGCTATGACAATTGTACTGCTATAAACATAGGCGCACATATATCACTGTGGTATGACGCTTTCAGTTCTTCTGGAAGAATACCCAGGAGGAGACCAGCTGGGTTAAATGGGCCCTCTAATCCTAGCTTTTTAAGGAATCACCACACTGATTTCCACAGTGGTTGTACCTGTCTACTCTCCTACCAACAGTAGAGAAAAGGAAAGTCTGTTTTTCTTTACTTTTTTTGAAGGAAAATGCTTGAAGTAGTGATTCTCACATGAGAGTGTACAAATTACTTGCGGGGTCTTGATAAAAGTACTCTGGCCCTCCCCTGCCTCAAAAAAAAAAAAGCTCTGATAGAGGAACTCACATTTTAATAAGTGTTAAAGAGAATGAATGGGCTTGGTGACACAATTCCCAGCTGCTTGGAAGGCTGAGGCAAGCAGATTGTAAATTCAAAGTGGAGGGGGCAGGGAGGGCCTGAGTTCAATCCCTGGTTCTGCCAAAAGAAAAAAAAGTTCAAAGCCGACCTGGTCTACTTGAGACCCAGCTTCAAAAAATAAAAGCCCTGAAGAGGGAAGAGACAGCTCACACAATGACTCTGAAGAGCACTTTAGTGGCATTTGGCATCACCCGTTAACAGGCAGTTGTTACTTGCCTTTAACAGATCAGTTCATCAACAGAGGAACAAGTAGCATACGGAGCAGTAAAAATCAGGATGTTTGTCATATCGCCTTTGGGTCCAGAGTTCTTGGGCCACCTCCACCGTGTGGCAAAAGGAATCACCTGATGCTCTCCACTGAGGTAGGAGCGAGGGCTGAAGTCCAGCCATGGGGTGGGGGATTGGGACACATATGGTGAGCACATTATTTCATCTGCCTCTAAAAGGGCACTCGCCCATCTATGGTCCGATGCTCTACGCTGAACAAATTCTAAGGTGCTGGTTTTCATTTTGAACGTACTCTGAAATTCCGATGTACACAATTATTCCTAAGCTAATCCTATCTACTGAAGATAGAATATAGCAAAGAAACACATTTTAGCGTATTTTAACCCTTGTGCCCTGGAAGCTTGCCTTTCCAATGTTTTACCTCACATTATTTTTCTCCTTTCATTTTAATTGTAATACTTCCCCTTGCATGATTTTTAAACTCATTTTCTGAAGTTCTTTTTTATCGTTCAAATATTTTCTGCTATGTGGATTCTATAGGAAATAAATGTAACACATATTTTTAAATGTGCGGATTAATTTATTTTCCTTATAGACACTAAGATCTGTTGGGTCCAAAAATAACCGATCCTCCCAGCAGCTCACAGTAGAGAAGCGTGTTCACAGCGCAGAAATGTCAGCCTTACTGATGCCCGAGACCGAGGAGCGAAGAGAGAGAGAAAGGGCTCGCCAGGTGAAGCCGACTGCGCGCATTCGTGGTAAGAGCCCTGCAGAAAGACTGCTAGCTGGGGAAGTGGCGAGCGGTGCTCTTGTTAAGACAGAGTGGAAGTTGCATTCATGACTATGTCTTAAGCCCCGAGAATTACCAGTGAGTAATGAGAAGGGTAGCAGATGCTGAAATGGAATTCTTTGGGCATATATTATCGCCTGGAATTTACTGTTGTATTTACTGCATTATTTCAAGTTATCACAGTAATTTTTGATCTGTGTTATAAAAATACTACTAAGGGGCCGGGGAGATGGCTTAGTAGAATAAGTGCTTGCCTAGCAAGCACAAGAACCTGAGTTCAATTCCTGGTTCTGCCAAAATAAAATAAAAATACTACTGAAATAAATTGACTTATAATCTCTATAGTTTGAGAACATTTACATTTTCTTAATTTATTTTCATCTTTTAATGAATTTCTTTGATTGTAGACTCCTCTTTATCTCGTCTCACTGGTGTAAAAAGACCTCATTGGATAAAGAAAGGACGTTATGTTCAAATAGAGAGTCCAAGCCTAACAGAGACCAAAAGTGACCTATAGAATTCACAAGAAAGAAATGAGCCCAGAACCCAAGACTTAAGCTCCCTGTTAGTTTTCCCACCATTATTGTCTAACTTTAATGAGAGTTAAAAGAGGGAACTTGAATTCATTTTCCTTGACTTAGAAATTTATAATAACTGTTGCAGACAGCACTCACCCATGAAGTAAAATGTGCCGTGAGGAACTGAGTAACAGAGAGAGGCAGTTGCAGCGTATGTAGCCCAGGAAGGCCTTCATCTTCCACTCTCTGTGCCTCAGATTCCTTGTCCCAGTGTGGGGCTACCATCACTCCTGGCACTAGTAATATTAACCAATAATGGCTGCCTCAGAGAGTCACTGTGCAGGGAGTCTGTGGGAAGAGCAGGTAGTGTACTGTGGAAAGTCCAAAACTGCGCTCTGCAGTGCGTATGAGAGGCTGCCCCGAGCAGAATGACTTCAGGCTGTGTCTAAGGCACCTCCAGGTTCGACCTTCATTCCCAAGAGTTCTTCAGGTCACTGCTCTGAAAAGTCTCGTCAAAAGTTCACTTTTTAAAAAAGAAGTAATTTTTGTGTATTGGCTGTCAAATGTCCTTTTTTATATATTTACTATAGCGTGTTGCATGGTATCATCTATTATTTGTAGCTCTCTATTAGTTGCATAAAACCAGGAGTTTTGAAAACATTAAATGAACCTGACATTGCAATAGAAGTAAACACCTGTTTATACGAAGAAGTTTTTGATGCAGCTTCATAGTACGTTAAGATGATAAATGAATATTCTCATTATAGTAATAATTTTATTTGCTAAATTATTTCAAATGATACAATCCTTTCTGTTCTGGCTTTTGTTCTTTCGTATGAAAATGTCCCAGCTGATCTGCCTATTATGCACCCACGTCCCCCTCAAGAACTTTCAGCAGATAAGAATAATAACCGGAGACGATTTCAGTTAAGAAGTACCAGCAGAGAAAGGACAGAGACACCCAGCGGTATGGCGTGATTTCATTGTTATCGGAGATCTGCATATTATACAGAGCAATGGAATCTCCCTGCAGGTTGTAAATTTTAAAGGAATATGAGCCAGTTCATTTAAAATATAAATGTCTGTTTCTTTAGGGATTATGGAAATCAGATGTTCTGCAAAAGAATTGCTCTAGAATCCAAGTAGAGATTTGCTGGATCAAATAGGCAGCTCTACAGACACAAAGGACTTGTGCTTTCACTCTGAAAGGCTGCATAAGATCCACTTACTGGGGGCCTTTTGTTGTTTTCTAGTGGCCCAGGTGTGATAAAGAAAATTTTGGCAAACTTTACTAAAATTGAATTATTGTAATTTTTTCAGATTTAATTTATGTCTTTTCTTTTTAAATTGGACTCTTTTCAGATAGTTTGTTACATTTTCTGTCTCTCCACTTGGGTTCTTTGCCATATAATATAACGCAGCTTAAAATTTAAGCTCTGTAACCAGTTAAGCGTTAGATTAATGTCATGGCTTACACAGTCATTCCTTTAAATACTGGATTTGAGAGGCCGGGGAGATGGCTCATTGGAATAAGCACTTCCCTTGCAAGCTCAAGGGCCTGAGTTCAATCCCCAGTTCCACAAAAAAAAAAAAAAAAAAAAAAAAAAAAAAAACTGAATTTGAGGTCTATGCATGTAGATTTGTGTATATGTACAGTAGTCTATCCTGAGTCCAGCCCAAAGGCTGTCACGTATACACGTGCTAAGACAGTTCTGCAAAATGGTAGAGCTCCTGGTGGCTAAAATTCAGCCCACCAGGTTTCACATTAATTTTGTGAAAGAGTAAATAGGAAAACTAATTGTATGGTAATACCTACATCCGTTCTCAGAAGGAGCTAAAGAAAAGAGCTTGATGTAAAGAAATCTGCTTGGTAAGAATTAGAATTTTTAAAAATTGATCTTATGTAGAACCTCTGGAAAAAAATAAAAGATCCTTTAAAAATTATGAGTTGGGGAATTATTCTTATGTAACCCTGTCCCTGTGCAAATATCAGAGAATGTAAGGCGAGCTTCTACAGCGTGTGGCTGAGTTCACCTTAAAACAACCTACTGAAAATGAAACTGCATATGCTCTCTAGTGTTACCTCTCTTTGCCTTCTCAAGAGTCAAGTGCAAAATTAACACCAAATTAATACCTTTCGTAAGCTACTTTTTATAAATATGAAAAATGGCAATAAAATGAATGGGAACTGTTTATTCCAATAAAGACAGTTCTTCAAGAAATAACAAGTATGAAGATGAAGCAATGACTGTCCTCACTACTACGAGGCAACAAAGCGAAGAGACAGTGAATGATGGCGCTTCAGGACACCTTTCTACTGACCAGGCGGGTTGGTGTCTTTACTGTTAATAAAATACAGTTATGCCTAATATCTAAATTCCAGTCATCTTTCTATGCTGTGAAGTAAAGCAAACATTTGCTGAAATTTTGCATTTTTTATGCATCTCCTTTGTTAACCTTGATCTTATATAAGGCTTGAATGATGAAAGAATATTTTTATTTTAATGCCACTGTTACCCATTAGAATGAAAGTTTAAAGGTATTCTGCAGTATTTCCTGTGACAGTGTCACTCTCCCCAAAGACCGTCATCCCTTGTTACCTCTCCCTAGTCCTCTTTAAAAATGAAGACGGTGGGACTCAGCACCAGTCCATCAGCCTATCTTGCCTCACAGATGTGTACAATTTTTACAAAAGCAAATTGGTTTTCAGCATAGGAAAAGGGAAAATAAATGAAAATTGTTTGTAGTTTGTCAGTCTTATTTATGCAACGTTAAAACCTTCATTAAAATGTTAGGCGCAATTAGTGTCTCTAGCATAAATCTGAGTGTGTAGAAAAACTAATTAGATGTTTAGGTGATCATTCTTGCATTTATCTTGTTTGCTGAAATATTGTGATTACACAGTAATTTACATATTTCCTAAGGAAACGCACCAAATTATTCATTACAATTGATATGGAAATACTTGAGGAAAAAGTACAAATTCCAACAAAGCATGTGGTAGTGAGATAATTAGAGTGAGTTTAGTGTAAACCGCCCCTTTGACTCTGACTTTTCGACAGTAATACGTTTGGCAGTAGGTCACAGAGATCATTCAGTTGCATACTGAAGAGGACCAGCGTCTTCTCCAGTGCCCTTTGCGTGTCTGCGTGTGCCTGACGCAGCCTTGTGTTTGTGGCGCACCTGTAGTATACCCGTGTGTTCCCAGAACCATGCGGAAGGGTGAGCAAGCCCACACGAGTGCCCAACCAGCTGTGCGCTCCTCCTGCCACAGCTGACTCGGGGCTACCTGCGCCCTCCGAGAATGGTCAGATGAAGTGGATTCAGCCACCAGCCATGTGCACTAGAGATCCTGAGCCTGAAAATATTAAAGCTTGTCCCCAACAGATTTTCTCTGAGACGTGTACATGTATCACCCATTTGAGCAGGCCAGTCAGGATATATACTGGTAGCTTTCAGTTAAGAAACCAGTAAATACAATTGTGAAATGTTTTGTATTGGTGCCATCAGTGTTTTTGTTTTTTGTTTAGGTTTTTGTTTTGTTTTGTTTTGTTTGGGGTACTGGGGATTGATCCCAGGACCTTCACACTGAGCCACATCCCCAGCCCCACCCCAAGCCCTTTTCATTCTGTTTTGCAAGGGGTCTCACTGAGTCACCATGCTGCTTAGGCTGGGCTTGAATTTATGCTCCTCCTGCTTCCACCTCCAGGAGTCCCGTGATTACAGGCTTGCACCACCATGCTCGACTGGAGTGCTACTTTTATCTGAAGTGTTTTCATTTGCTTTGCTTTTACAGTATAGGTTTTAAGGTTAGCATATCTTTGGTCTTTCTTGGTTTCTGTTATTGTAATTATAAACATAGTATGATTCAGGAGTCAGTTATAAATTACCACATCCATATTGTGGTTCTACACAATAAACTTTACAAGGTGTTTACCATTTAAACAATACAGCAAAAAAAGTAAATTTTAAGAAAAACAGACCAAATGGAGAAAATGCTCAAGTCTTTCCTGTTGCCATTCTAAACAAGAAACTAAGCACATTGTAATGGTATTTATTACATAGCTTTATCTGTCCAAATTACCTGGATCATGGTTATAAAATCTGTCTCAGTGTGGTATAGAAGATTAAAGTTCTGTAAAGATCAGAATAAATACATCTCCACTGTAGCATGCAGTATTTAAAGAAAACCAATGATGTACAAAAAGTTTCATGTCAAAATATTCTCCTAAAATTAGAGGCAAAGGTGCTTCTACCAAGCAAAATCCACTATGCAGACTAACGTGTCTGTGAGCCTATTACTCAAAACGCCTGCTCAGCTTTGTCTGAATTGCCCTGTTCCAGTTGGCAGGATGGAGAGAGACAGGGCGTTGAGAGCCTTCCATGGATTCCTGTTTTCACTGATTTGTGATCCACATAGGGACCAGAATTTTGTTTAAGAAGCTTATTAAATACCATACTATCTCCCTGTAGTAAAAAGAAAATTTTAGTATCTCAACCTTTTTTTAAATTCGCAAGGTTTTTTCCTTGTGGAATGTCACATTAACGAGGTGTGTTTGTCATAGAGAACTTGCTGGGAGACAGGTGATAATTATTTCAGACGTTCGCATTTCCAGCGGTGTTTCAGCTCCCACAGAGGAGTGTAAATGAGCTGCCTTAGCTACGGCCCCTGACCCGTGGGTTAAATTGTAACTTGCTAAAATTGTCTTCCTTGGCTTCTGCCTCATTTGGTTAATTTCTGTTTCTCCAAAAAGTTTTAAGCCAGTTACCTGCCTGTGATACCGATACCGTTTCTGGAACACTGCTACTCTGATTTGCCCTTTTTCCCAAATGTCAGATGAGTGGGTGTTTCCCGAACGTGATTGCAGCCCCCGCCTGGCCTCTGGCCCACAGTCTGCACATCCAGGCGACCAGCCCTGCAGCAGTCCCCACCTGGGGCCGGACACCGGCCAGGACCGTGAGCAGGACCACTGTGCAGAGGAGACCCGGGTTGCCACCAGGGACGTCTTCACTTTCGCATCGAGGCCACGATCAGCACCTCATGGGAAGACGCAGAGTATGTCCCCAGAGGGGTGCCCATTTATTTTGGATCTAGAAGAAGATACCAGTGTGACCAGGATAGACTCCCATTTGGAAGGTGATTTTTATGCCGGTGACAGCAGTGAAGAGGTACGCTGTGTGATGAGTAAAGTAGTCTCAAAGCATGGTTGTTCCGTTAGCTCCACGGGCTCTAAAACTGGTTGAAATGAAAAGGGAGGAGTCAACTGCTATTTGGAAAACTGCCGCAGACCGCTGTGTGAGCCAGTAGTTGCATAAAGTTGTTATAGTAACTCAACTTGCCACTTTTACTAACAGCCAGTTTTATTGTTAGTTATGGAAGCTAGTTTGGGGCTTGGGTTTTTGTTTTATTTTCATTTTACTGTTTGTCTCACAGAATGAAAGAAATAATATGCCATTCAGTTACACAATAGCAAGGCCAGTAAACACACCTTCAAAACACACTCCATCTCTGGGAAACAGTGGTCGAGTTGCTTCGCATTGTGAACGGGCAGTTTTCTGGCTTCCTCACTCCCCTGCCGTCTTTTCACCCTAGACCTATTAGGACTCATTATTTTCTGTGTGGTCCCAGAATTTCAGGAGTTGTGCCAATTAAAGTTTGGGTAATGAATCATGAATTAATCCTGGGACTTGCCATCTAGGAGGTTTTCTGCTTGGAATTATTTAGAATACAAATATGTTATAAATTAGTATATTCATTAAAAACCTGTTTAAAACTTGTTAAAAATCAAACTAAATATAGTTCATAATATTTACTTGAAACCTTTATGAAAACGTCTTCCTTCTATGGAATGAATTACCTGTGAAATTTCTTTAGCTGTATTCGTTATGATGACCATTCATATTTGTTAGAAAAAATAATTTTAAACAGAATACAGTCAAGTCAAGGTTTAATAAGAACATATAAAACATTTTATTTGTAGATTATACAACTGAAAAATATCCATGGATATTTATAAAACTAATAACTATAAGAATCTCCTTTGGACAGTGGATTATCAAGTAATTCCATAGCTCCTACTCTCAAGGCAGTTGAGACTACAGTGGGATTCTTCAGGCAGTAATTAAGAGTTTTCTCAGCTTTTTTTTATGTATTTAGGACAGGATCTACAGGGTCTCAGAATAGATCAGACTCATAGTGATCCTCCTGTTTTCAGCCTCCCAAGGGCTGGGGTTACAGGAGCGCACCACCACGCCCAGTCTCATTCCCAATCTCAGCATGCCCCAGGGGCAGGGCTGGCAAGGCATCCTGGGGATTGAACCCTGAACCCCGGCCACTGAGCTCTGCCTCAGCAGGCACTTTAGTCTGCTGAGCTGTCTGGCCGGCCCAAGTTTTCTCAACTTTTAATGAGATTTTTCAGCAAAGAACATGGATACCCTTATTTCTGCATGTGATGAAACAATTCGTGATACAAAACCTAAACCGACCGCAAACACCAAGTAGTATGTTTGATACTAGCATCTAAAATGTGGCTTTTGGATTCCTTTGTCCTTTCTGCTCGGAAAAACACTAATGTGTGGTAAGTATAACATGGCATTTATCTTCAGCGTCTGGCAGTGACCCTGCCCCAGCAACCCTGTTACAATATAAATTGGTTATTCGGATCGGTTAATTCGTATCATTTTACTGGGCCAGGACTATCCTTTCCCCTGTTCCTACCTTTCCTACCTATCCCCAAAAAACTTACTCTGATTGTAGAGGTCTCAAACAGGGAGCAAGCACAAGTTTTCTGGGAAACTGTGATCTGGAAGACTGATGAGGACCGCGCCTTGCATGACTCCTGAGGAACTTGGCTCTTTGTCAAAGGGCAATCCTTGAGGAGCCGCAGAGCGCCTCGGTGCGGAGGAAGGAAATGAGCACTAAGTGCTTTACGCTGGTGCTGCTGTCTGTGCTCGCTCTCGCTGCTTGCTGCTCCTGACATCTTAAGTGTCTGTTATGCAGACAAGTACTTACTATCAGCTGTATAAAATAAATTCCTCGCGAGCTGCCCAAGTCCTCCTGCCATGCCGTGCCGTGCCGTGCCGTGCCGTGCCGTGCTCCCCTCCCATGCCACATGCCCGCCTCTGCACTTGCCTGTCAGCGTGGCCAGCAGCACACATGGAGCCCGTGACGGGACCATCTTGTTGCAAAACCGGCCTGGGCCACCTTTAGCCAGAGCGCAGAGTGGCACACAGGGACACAGGCACCAGCCTTGCCACCTTACCGAGCTTGGGGGGTTGCTGTTAGAGAAACTAACAGGATGCCAACCAAGATGCAAAACAGAGCAAACAAAAGTGCTAGGGTATATTCAAATAGGTTCTAGAATTTGTGTGTTCTTTGCCACATTGGCTTTCTTCTGTTTTGCTTTTGTTTCTCTTGTGTTTTTGATACTTTCTTTGACTGTGGGGTAACCTCTGTTTATTGACTGTGTGAGTATGGGAAATGGAAGCTTGCTTCCAGTATTCACGCACAGCTGCTGAGGAAAAATAAGCTTAATTTAACCATTGTTACCACAAGAGGATTATTTCAGAGCGTTACATCCTTGGTGTAGTTGGGGTTAAAAACGTGTTATGTTATAAATAATTGTGAGAAAATCAGTAGCATTATACTACTGACAACGCTTGAAGCTTATAACTTGTAATTGAAAGACTTTGATTTTAGACTAGTGAGAATTTTTCAAGGGAAATTAGATAAATTCAGTAGCATATAAACTAGGGAAGATAAAATCGTGTTATAAAAGGGGAAGAGCGCGCATTCAGTAGCAAAGGCTAAGTAAAGTAGGCCTTCAGTGATGCATTGTCCTTGTAGTTTCGGTTGCTAATAATTAACGCACATCTGAGAGCTTAGTGTGAGAGGCGCAGAAGCGGAGACTTCTTGCATATACTCTCGTCTTCCTCTTTGCTTAGTGTGTAGTTTATTCCCTGAACTGCCATATCTACTAACACCTAGCACTCAATTGACTTTGTAGTTGAACTTCATATTTGAAAAGCACATGACAGAAACATGTGTCATGAGGAACTATAAAATCAAAACTACTATTTTTTTTTTATTTTTCAACAAATAATACACTGCATATATTCTTCTTAGTGGTTAATTGCTGTACAAGATGCAGACTTGTGATCCTATTTACAAACACCATTAGAACAAATCATTCTATTCATTAACAGAATGTAACTATATATCTATCCCAACCACTTTGAATACACAGATACAAAATGGACATTCATCGGTATACCCCATTTTTTCTAAGTTCCGTTATTGAATATTATAGGTGTGTAAACTCAGCAAAATATTCTAAGAGTCCAGTAGCCCATAATAGCATTGGGTCTTCTGTTTGACTGGCAATGTCAGAAATTATTGACCTGAGTCCCCCACAGCTCAACTTAACAGCATGGCTTTATTTCTTATAATTTCGTCTTCATACTTTTCTGCTGGATGGTTAAGACCAAGGTAAAGCAGGACCTATGCAACAAGAGTTAAAACTACTATTTAGAACAAATTATCTTAGGAAAGCTATTGAATAGAGTGTTTCACATGATTGAAGCAGTTGGAAGAAACAAAAGCAAGCTAGTCTGCTTCTGTGTCGCCTTTCAGGCCTTATTCCAAACATGGCTTCTATATACACCTGGTTTACAGTAATTAGCTTTATACTAACATTTTATTCTTCCCTGATGTACTTTTTACTCTAGAAGTGCAGTCCTATCACTTTTCCTCATAAGTCTGTGTATCATACATACGAGACCATGCAGTTTGTCGTGTATAGCAGTCCACACTGGAACATTGTGGCCCTCCACATTATTCATATTTGTACACAATGTGTGAGAACTGTCACGTTCAGATTACCTAGGAAGGCTCGAGATCTTCCCTCTAACTAGCTGTACGAGAGCCTGCAAAGGACAGTACACCAACAACAGATTGCAAGGCCCACTCCAGTCCTTTCTCCCAGCTTCCCTGGTGGTGTTGCTGTCAAGGTATTTTTGGCACTCAGCAGTGTAGTTATTTCACTTTACATTTTTTTCCCGACAGAATATATTTCTAGATTATACTATAAGCCCAGATCTCCATATTAAACTAACAATTTTGAGTTGCTGTCTCACATAATCTGTGTGTATACAGTAGAAAGGATATCAGTCCATGTGAAGCTGCTTATAATTCTGTATAAATTTTAAAAGTTTCTGAATGACAATGTATGTGTTGGAAAAAATGGGAAGACTTTTAATACACTGCCTTGAATTTTTGTTCATGTATTTTATGAATTATAACATAGCACATTCTCTAGACCTACCAGGAAAATTTAATCTTTATTCTGTATAAGTAATCCTTTCAGGCTATTCACGTGTGTCTTTATTCCTACTGTTAAAGCTCTCCTCTGAGAAGTCACAAGTCTCTTGGTGAGGAAAGTTATAAAGCACTCTTCTGCTTAGAATCTAACATTCTATCACTTTTGCTAAAAGATAAGACACTCTGCAGATATTTTTAAAAGTGCCTTTCACACTATCACAGCATCTGAAAGAAATTTGGTTGTGGACAGGAACAAGAAATCTTAAAAGTGTTATCAGTTGAAAGATCATAAAATCTAATGTATTGAAAAATATTATCCATCTTGAACAATTACAGAAAACCCATCATTTTCCCGAAATATTCTTATGTCCTCCCACGCAGTCCCTTCCCTGACACTTCTGCTGTGACGTATCTGAGGTATCACCAGGTCAAGATGTTCACAGAAAGTGACTTGGCCACCCTGTTCACGACCAGGCATGATGCAGGCAACTTGCTTGCCAAGACCTGCCACATCTTCCTTTCACTTTATGTTTATAAACTAATAAAACGCATTATAAAGCAACACTATCATGTATCTCTGTCACCCAGAGAGATCTCTGATATTTTCCTAGTTTCTTATAACGTTCAAGAAAAAAAGCACTTCTGGAGGATAAACACTGTGAGGACAGTTCAGCCATACTTGGACAGTCACCTCGTTGTCATCAGAGAATAAATGAGTCTGTTTTCTTTCATGACCGTCTCTAGCTCCATTCAAGAGGACAGCGGCGCTGTCTGATTGCCCGCGCAGCTGCTCCTGTACTGCTGCCGCCCCTTGCGGTGCCCCCATCCAGGCAAACTCCGCTGCAGATCT